GCGGGCTGGGCCGGGCCGGGCCGCGGGGCGCCGGGAGAGGTGCGTACGGAGCGACCGGCGGGGCGGGGAGGGGGCTGAATCCGCCACTGGGACCCGGAGAGGCGGGGGGCTCCTTCGCGGCTCCCCCCGCGGGACACACGCACACCCCCGCACGGACACTTCAACTTGGCGAGGGGCGCCTTTGTTCGCGGCGGGGGCTGCGGGGCCCGCCGGGGCCGGCGGCGCGGGGAGCCCCGCACGTGACGGCCGGGCCCGCGGGGGCGCGCGGCGCGGCACGCGGCCGGCGGCGGCTTTGTGCGCGGGCACGGCGGGAGCGCCGGCGGCGCGGGGCTCTGCGCACACCGGGGTCTGCGGCTCTCTGGTGTTGTGCGGGGGTTTGTGGTTTTATTTTCCTTTCTCCTTTTCTCTTTCCTCGGTTAAGTTTGTGCCGTTAACGGCGGCGCGGGAGCGGCGGGGCCGTTAACGGCGCGGCGCCGCCGTTGGAGCGCGGGCCATGCGGCTTCTCCGGTGGGCAGCGGGCCCGGCCGGCGCTGCCCCCCCGCGCCCCGCGGGGCACTTCCTTCTGCCCCCCCCGGCCACGGGTTGCGGGAGTTCCGCCCGGAATAACGCCTGGGCTGGAGACGGCCGCTTCCGCAGGGATTGCAGGCGGGGGAGTCCGCGAATGAGGAAACCCAGTGCTCGGTTTTAACGTCAGATCTGCTCTATTTATTGTCCGCTCTTTTCCACTCGGTAATTCTGCCTTTGAGTACAAACCATGGCAACAAACAGGCGTTGGAAGGGAGCTACAGCTATTTTGAATGATGAAGTGTCACAGTGAAAAGGTGCCAGTGTTTGCGCTATTGCAGACTAAACAGCGAGGCTGGAGAACAATATGTGGAAAAGTTTACTGAATAGCACCTGCAGATTAAGTTTACACTATCTTTTCAATTTTTATGCTTTAAAGAGGAAGGACTATAGAATGTTAAAGGCTTTGGTGTAAGAATAGCTTTCTTAATTGCATTATTAGCTCTTTAAAAGTCTGCTCACTCTACAGCATAAATTCCTCTAGAAAGATACATATATATATTAAAAAAAAAAAAGAGTGATTGCGGTACATGTGCACGGTAAGATGTGCTTTTGTGGCGTGGGGAGCAGGCTCAAGTGCCCAGCTAAGCAGGCTGTGAGCCCCAGCGAAGCAGACGAGGTGGTACGTGCGGGATGAGCCGGGCAGCAGCTGCGAGCTCAGCTGTAACCCGAGCGTTTGCTGCATTGAGCCTTCTGGGTGTCACGGCCTGGCAGCGCCCAGGCTGCAGCAGCCGAGGTGCGGCAGCTCCTGGAGCCCTGGCCAGTGCCGGGGAGCTGCCTGCTCGCATGCTGGGGGAGGAGTAGCACCACTCCAACTGCTTAATGGCATTAGGCAGAGGGAAAAACGTGCTATGTGCCTGCTCACTGCTGCTTCCTCGGGAAGTGGGTCCTGTGGTTGCTACGGGGGTTTTGGAACGATAAGTAAATAGATGAGTTGTGTTACTGGGCGTTAGAGAACGCAGTCCCTGCGTAATCTGCTGTATTCGTCTTTGGTGAATGCCATTGAATAGTTTTGCGATTGTTTGCTGTGAAGTGATGGTAACGTGTTGTAAAAATTTGTTTGGATTTCCAGAACGTCCAGAGTCAAGTTCTCAGACTCAGAGCTATGCCAGCTGCCTCCCGTAGGCAGGTTATTTCTTGAATTGAGCTGGGGTTAAATTCATTGGGAAGGGTGAGGGGGCAGAGTAAGAAACGTGCTTTATTCAGCGTCAGGCAACTTGGTAGTAAAGCAACCAAAGACAACGTGTGTGTTCCCTTTGGCTAAGCAGGGAAGTCTCTTAGGGCAAAAAAGTGTGGCTTCCCCCCCCCCCCCAAGCACCCACTTAAAATAGTGCTGTACTCAAATGTGACTTAAAATTGAGTGCTTGAGTCTTGTGCTCAATTATGGTCTTTGGGGAGTTGGGTTAATGCATAAAGTTTCCTTTTAAAAACTACAAGTTTGAAAGAGAGATTTCTGTTTACAGAGATTTAGTTTCTCCTGGTTTCAGCCTGTGTGCGTGGTACTCCCTAGAGCTGTCCTCCACTTTGGGAACGGAAAGAGGGAGTGTCTGCAAGGAGTTTTTCCTCTGAAAGTCTGCAAGGAGCATATTGGACTTTCTTACATCTATTTTCATGTTGTTACATGCCTCACATGCTTGCCTCTAGTAGCTGACTCTTGCCTGCTGTACTCTTAGTCTGTTTTTCTTTGTGCATGTCTAATGCGTGGTGTGAAATTCGGTCACGTCTTCCATCTTAAAATTTCTCGAATCCCCAACCTGTCCCAGTTTGGATATTTCCCTGGTGACCTGCCTATCTCTTGAAGCTGATGGAGTCTGGACTTTGCTTTCCCAAGAAGGCCTGCTTTTATTAAAGGGTGGGGTTTTGTTGTTCTTTGATAGTGGGGATATTTTCTAATAGTGTCTGAAAAATCCCAGGTTGTGTGCAGCTGAGCAGCCATCTACACAGGAGGTGTGTGACATGGCATAGTTTTACTTTATTTATTTACATATTTTTGCTCTGTGCTTGTGGGATAGCCTGCATCCTCCACATGTGTATTTTGGGGGTGTTGGCCTGTCTAGAGGCATAGATCTATGAAAGCAAGTGAGAAGGCGTTACGTTTCTCTTCTCAGAATAATCACACTCACAGATCTATATTTGGAACTAGTTCTTTTAATACCAGCAGGAAGACAAACCAGTGGCTCACATGTACCTTAATCTGTAGTGTTGTCTGAATCCTGAATGATAACTGCAAGCCACATTCCACACAGTTTGGTTTCAGCTAATGATGTGGTATGTCCTGTTGTGTGTAGTCGGAAACACTTTTCTTGACCTGAATAATAGCTCAGAAAGTTAGAAAGGAGCCAGCGTGGAAAAAGTATAATAGGGCGTGGAAAGACGCAGGGGCGAATTAAGAACTGAAAGACTACAACATTGGCTTTTTCAAAGAAAAGTCTGTGCTCGTGAGTTTATACACTCAGTGCTTTGCAATTTCATGATGTGAACTCCACCCTCTCTTAACTCAAACCATTAGCAATACAAGATCCATTATAGGAAAGTGATGCAAGAGCAAAGAGGCCCTTTCTTAGCTATTAGAGGTTAAATAGTTATTTACTATTCAGACTCTGTAGTTAGCATATTATCGTATGCTCTTGCTCCTCCAGCCCTTTCATCTAGTTACCCTGCTGTAGAGATGGCTGACTGGCTGCGAGGTTCGGGGATTTTTTCTTGCTTGTCTGAGGAAGGGTAACAGCTGAAGGGAAACCTTTAATAAAATGGAAACAAGAATGCTGCACACTCACTCTGAGCGCTTCTGGAGTTGGATAGGTTTATTAGAAAGTATAATGTATCTCCAGTGAAGTGTTCTCTGATTTGTTTAGTAAGTGCCAGAGCTGAAGCTCCAGAGAGACTTGGGCTATATTTAGCCTAATCGCGAGGCAACACCTTTGTAAAGTAGGTAATGAAGCCTGATAAAACCTTGAGTGCCTCACTCATGAGCTGCCTGCAGACTGGCTGAGGGCAGGTCACTGGCTCTGCTGCTGCCCTGCTTAGGTGGCTTTTGTCAAGTTAAAGGATTGCTTCGTGCCTCAGTTTCCCCATCTGTAAATAGGTCGTGGTGATCCTGCCCTCCCCTTGTAAGTACTTGGGGTCTGTTGCTGTGGGGTGGTGCATGTGAGCTACTGATAGCAGCATTTTACTGATAGTAGCATTTGCACAATGCTTCGGTGGTTTGACCTGCTCTTGTTTCTCTTCTTTGTCTTTTTCTTCTGCATTTTAAATTTAGAATGTGTCTCAAAGGGCTTTTTTGTTTTCCTGTTTTCCCTCATTGCTGTTTTTTTGCCCTGTAGATTTAACTTTCCTCTATTTTTTCTGTCCCTCCATGTTTTTGTCCCTTGTATATCCTGCATGTTCTTTCTGGCAGTCATTTCTTTTGTTCACCAGTGTCTTCCTCTTACTGTTCCCGTCTGTCTTCAGAGCAGCATTTTCTCTCCCCTCCATCCGCTGGGATTTCCTTTTCACCTGACTCATCCCCTGTCGGTACATCCCCGCTCAGTCACGCTCTCCTTGCGCTTCTGCTCCAGGAAACGCAGCCAGCAGGGAAGGGGACTGCCTGCTCATCCCATCTCGGGGGACACCCTCGAGTCCCCGCTCGCCTACTGCCTCCTGCTGCGCCTGGATCGGGCAGGGTATTTTGGGAAAAGCCTGTACGGGGGCGTCGAGGAGCCCCTTACTCCCTGCTCCCCTTTGCCCTTTCCTGGCTTTTGCAGCAGAGCTGGGAGGTTTCCTGCTTCCTCCCCTGTGCTGGGTAAGCAGTGAGGGTCGGCAGCCCCTCACCGCTTTCCCAGAACATGGGAGGAAGCAGGAACCCTCCCGGCCCCGCTGCAGAATTCCCGGGAGCGGGTGCCGTGTCCTCGGAAGGCGTTGCACTGGAGCAGCCGGTTGCTGCAGGGAGGAGCGGCTGCGGGGGCGGCAGCAGCACAGTCAGAACAGTTCAGAGATGGGCAGGGAAATGAGATGGTTGACTTGAGGCAAGGTGAACGATTTCAGAGCAGGGAGGGGGGAGCGATTTCGCGTCTGCAGTCTGCTGCCACTTGATCGTCCTCTGTAATCACCCTGCGCTGGCTGGTCCTGCAGGCACGGAGAGAGGATCTGCGGGCTGAGCTGTGTGTTGGAGGTGGAATGGGGCTGCTGCACTTTGAGCTGCCGTGGTAAACACTCTTGCTCAAGCACAGTGAGGGAAAGGAAGAGTGTATGGTGTAGTTCCCTTTTCTAGCTGGTTTTCCTCCAACGGCACAAAGGAAAAAAACCGACAGAACACAAAATCATCCTTTCTTGTGTAATTAATGATTGTTTTAACTTGTTTTGATGGAGGAATTACATTAGTATTTATACAGTTCTGGGGGCTTGGTGTTTGGGTGTTTTTTTTTAGTTTCTTAATTTTCTTTTTTTCTTCTCAATAGACATTCAAGCCCTTGGTTGGAAAAAGTGTATACAATTCAATTACTGCAGTAGAATTCCTTGTGGACAAACAACTGGATTTTATAACTGAAGATAGTGCCTTTCAGCCCTATCAGGTAAGAAATTTGGTTAGTGTATAAGTACTATCCATTTAATTTAACTAAAACTCATGTTTTTATTATTTTTAAGTGCATTTTATGGCCAAGTTCTGTGTTACAGGAACAATTTCCTATTCATTATTGGCAGAGATTGTTGCTTGTTTTGTGAAAGATTGTATTGGATACTGTATCTATAGATTCTGGTGACTCTGATCTTGTCAAGGAGTGCTATGCAATTAATATTATTGAACCATCCTTAAGTAAAATACCTGACCCCTTTAAAGGTTAACCAGTACTATTAATTGTAGAGCAAATAAAAGACAGTATTTCTCCTTCTGAAGCTGAGCTTTCATATCTAGGGCTTTGCATAACTACAGTGATATCCCGCTTACTGATTTTTTTCCTCCTGAGAATGAATAGCAGAAAATGTTGTTTTTAAGCCTGTTAAGATTTCCAGTATCCTGTATTTCAATGCGTTCTCCATTAATTAGAAACACATTAATAAATCAATGTAAGTGTATTTAAAGAACAAGAGAATCAGTCATTCCCTCCTTGCTTCAGAAGAAGGTCTAAAAATCTCTTCTGTGACAAATAGAAAAATATTTGATACTTCAACTCGTGCTGAACTGATTGCAATTAGAATAGCCATAAATTCTCCCTTAAGGCTTGGATGGTACACTGCGGTGATACAGAAATAGTACTTCGAGACTCGCAATAACAGATGGCTCTGAATAAATGCTACGTAATTTTGTCCTGACACCCCTTCTTCCCTCCTGCTTCACCAAGATGCTTTTTTTTTTTCCAATACCAAATATAGAGCTAGAAAAAGAGAAGCAGCTGAGAGAGAATCCTGGGGAAAGGAAAGGGAGGTTCGGTTGATGGAAGGGCTGGTGCTTCTGTGTGTCTGTGGTGGGGAAGCCAAACGAGTCGAACGCTTCTTGTCAGGGTGAGGTTACATGTTATGACTCGAGCTGCTGGAACAGCTTGGCTCTGCTGCAAAGAACACTTCCCACCATCAGACCCCGCGCCAGCACCTTCAGCCTTCTAAACCAGCACAGCCCTGATTTCCAAGCACGGGAGGGGGGGACATGGCGCGGGGGAAAGCCTGTGATGTGAGAGAGCTGAGCTGGATTAGCCCAGGGTGCATCCAGTGCTGCGGCTTCCTCCACAGAGGGGGTCAGGATGATGCAACACGGAGCGGGATATCCTCCTTTGGCAGCAGCGACCTCTTAAATCAGCTGAGCCGTGAAGTGTAAATTCGCCCTCAGAGTCCAGCTGCAATCTTCCAGATTCATTTTACAAAGTAAATACTGGTGCTGGTGTGTCTGTCCTTTGCCTGAAATATGTCAAGATCATGTCTCTGATAATGCTCATTCCAGTAACAGTAATCAATCTCCTTTTGGCAGTGGATCATTTCTGAGCTGAGCAAAACAAACTGAACATATGAGAACGGCTCCTTTTGTTGAGCAATCCTACTGCCAGGCCTGGCTGGCACTAACATAGTGATGCTCTGTGCATTTTAGGCTCTTCAAGGAGTCTTTACTGATAGAGCATTAGACTCAGAAACACCTTAATTTGGGAAGGTGCATACAAATTGAAGGTATCATTTTTGAAAGTGTGTCATGTGAACAGCTGGCGTCATATTGTCTTGAAATTAACAGCTTTAGCAACTTCACTTCTCAAAGAGATGTTGACCAAAAACTGGTACAAAGGTGTAGTTTGCCAGAAATAGTTCCTGATAAAAGCTTGGCCCCCATTTTTGACATGTAGAAGGGCAATTCTGTGTGAGAGATGAGGCTGTTTCCCCCTCTCATGAAGCAAATCGCTGCCTGTTAAAGCCCGAGATGGAGGCTGTTGACCTGAGTCCATCATAAGTAGTTTGGTGGCAGGTACCTAACTTGCCTGGTTAACGTTACAAGAAGTTTGCTGATGGAGATTCCTTTAAGTACTAAAGCATCTCGAATTTGCATTTTAACTGGATATTGCTTGGATATTGAATGTAGAAACATAAAATAACATTGTGCTCACTGCTGGACAGTGCAAAGATTTCTTTATTTGAATGATTATAGGAAGTTTGAGAAATGTCTTTCATAGAAATGTCTCTGCAGGCCTTGCAGTCTCTCATTGCCAAGTTTTACAAGTTAATTGTACAGGTAAGAGCTTTGCTGAATGATAATGTCTTTAGGAGAACAGAAACTATTTTTTTTTTAAGTATGGGAACAATTACATACCAACAGGGTGTTAGACAGAAATCTTAGCTTGATCACTGAGACTTATTTTCTGCTGAAAGATACCTGGAGTGGGAGGATTGTCTCAGTTCATTTTCCTTGTTATTTTTTGTTCAGGCTGGAAATTACATTCCTAGCCATCAGCCACTTAATGCAAGGTGGCTTGTATTTGTATCTTTTTTCTGGAAGATCTCTATTTCCTTTGCCATAAAAATTAGTCCTAGATAAATATTTGGTAAACTTCCTGTGGAAAATCTGTTTTTCCATAAAAAGGGCCTTTTTGCTCCCTTATTTCTTCTGGAATAGCATTGATCTACTTTTGGCCTGTAGACAGAACTGAGGAACCATTCTTTGCAAAGATGAGTTAACTTTGAGTCTTCTGAAATGTGTTTAGTTTTTGGTTTAAGCTCTCAAGGCTGCACATTTTCAATATGAATTCCTTAGAGACCGTGGTGACCTAAACACTTTTTATTGCATTTTGCTGTTAGTGCCTAAAATTCCAGTACCTTTCTGCCAAAACAAACAAAAAGTCTGAATCTGTGTGGGAAGGGTCCATTTCACTTCAGATACAATTCTTAACTACTGAGTAATTTTTCCCATCGTTGTGTATACTCATAATACTAGTAATGGGCAGCAGACGAGCATTTGGTATGAATTCTGCTCAGAGCAGTTCTGATCAAGAAACACGGTGCTGTTTCACACAACTGTTTGGCCAAAGGGCTTCATGAATAAGGTGCTGCTGTCCAGTTTGAAGGTGACAACTGCTCAAAGCAAAGAAACCAGCACACTTGGCATCCTTTCAGGCTTGGCAGGAAAAACAAAGTTTGAGTAGGCAAAGAACTAAATTACTGTCGTTACCAGAAGTGGTTCTTCCAGAACAAGATTAAAGAGACTTTGGCAGGACTCACTGGGGAATCGCGAACCGTGCATTCCCATGCCATGTCTGCTCTTTGCATAAATAAACATGTTTCAATTGTTAAGAGATTCAGCAACCTTCATAAGAGCTAGATGAATATCATTATTACAGTAGGGTGTGCAGCTGCATTGTACTAGCCTTCCATGTCTGCACAAGGCTTTCTGTAGCAACTCTTACACTTGTCAGTGAATTTGTTCTTTACTGCTAAATGTGCATGCGATTTTTCTTTTCCTTTATGTGTGTACTGCTCAGAATCCTACCCTTCTCTGTAAAAGTTCCTTGGATTCTGTATGCGTGTGCCTTAAACACCAACCTACAACTTGTTTCTGGTGGCTTTTACCTCTCTTGCTTCATGGAGGATGTAAACTGTATTACTCTATGTAAAACTTGTGTGTGACTGAGTGACTCATTCATTAATTTGGGATCGTCAGACCATTTAGTCATGTAGTTCTTTACGGTGGTGACAAGAGGATCTTGAGAATGAAGCAGATATGAACATTTGCTGTGGTGCTTTGTTTAGCAATGAAATGAAAATTCTGTCCTTTTCAGGAAATGATAGGCATAAAATTTGCAACACACATGTTCTGTGTCAGACTGGTATCTGTAGGAAGTGTAGTCTTGATATGGGACGTATAAGTTAGGTCCTTACTATGAATTCCACTTTGCATTCATGATATATCGTGTGTGTTTTGTGTTTAAGTAAAAAGTCACAAGTGTAGTGGGTTCTGCAGTGGCTCTTGGTACAAACTGAAACTTAAGACGTTTTCAAATATGCTCATTATTAAAATATTTTAAGCAAAACTACAGTAAGTCTACACATACAAGTGTGACCTCAGTCAAATACTTGGAACCAAAATTGTTTTCTGTAATAATAAGTTATTTGTACTGTGACATCTATGTGTGTGTCTGTTGTGTTGCACATAGTAAGTTAAGCAGCAGCAAAGCTAATCATGCCTTAATTTGTTTAAGCATCGTAGTTTACTTGAAGGACTATAGATGGGGATGTGAAGCATTAAGGCTCAGCATATGGTATGTGTGACCTCATCAGAGTGGTGTTTTTGTCTGGGTGGTGTTTGGCAGTACCCGTCACGGGCAGTGTTGGGCTGAGTGTGTGATTCTGCTGTTACTGGCCTAAGCAGCTGGAGTCAACTGCATTATACTTTGGACAAGCAAATAAAGAATAACAAAAGTGGTTTATATCATGTTTTTCCATAATAAAATACACTTGTGGAAAGATCTGGAAAGAGTGTCCTTTACCCAGGCAGTCAGTGCATTTCAGCTGTGTGTCTGGGTAGGACAGAGCGGGGTACATGATAGATTTTATATTTCCAAATATGTACATAATGTGTATGATCATGCATTTCCAAAGCGTTTCTGAGCACACAGCACTGGAGCAAATGTGCACAGCTGAGGCAGGACAAGGAATTCACATGAATTTCCTTCACAATCATTAGACTTCCTACAAAGGGCATTTTACCACTAAAGGAAGAAGAAGGGTGAGCTGAGTCTTCAAAAAGTTCTGTCGCATATTTGGTTAAAAAAAAATAAAAATTGTATAAGAATGAATGAAGAACACACTTCAGTTCCTCTTTATGGTGAAATCTCTCTTCAGACCTTACACTCTCCTTCAGAATTTTTCGGGAGACAAGCCTGGTTGCTTTATTGTTTCAAAATGGTACAGTCTGCATGTCTCCCTCTGTGCTGAAGGTTGCAGATGTAAAGATAGGGGGATGAGAAATCCCCGTGGGAGGTGTTACACACGCAATGATAGGCACCTGTACTTTGCTCTTCTAAACGTGCGTGGCATGTCTGAGAGCTGGCAGATCAAATGTCTAACACACCTTAAAGATTGTTGAAACAGTAATAGTAATAAA